TCCCGTCATATCCTCAGTGGGAGTCGCTCGACGTGGATCGGCTTTGCTGGGAGGGAGTAGGGGGTGGACTGTGGAGGAAGCGTGGCCCTAGCCGGCTTCTCCAGGGGGCAGGCTCTGTCATTTCACTGGATGCCTGCTGTGGTCACACAGATGCGCTCTGCTTTCCCTCTGGCACGGTGGCATCGCCTCAGCAGGCGTGGGTTCCGGTCACCAGGAAACCCTCTGTTCTCCCTGATAACTGTGAGTTTGGTGACTAAGCAAGGAAGGCCAAGCTCGTGTAAATGGTTTGCATGGTATTAATGTCTCATGTTAATCTAAGCTCGAGAGCCTTTTAACCCTTGTGCTAACAGGCATCTTGCTGTAAAACAAAAACCTGTGATTGTTCTTTCCAACTGATGGCTGGGTCTTTGTCCTTCACACAAGATGGTAATTTTCCCATTGGGAGATTCCCAGACAGTACCACCATGTTCTCCAGGGCCCCTGCTGTCTTCACACAAAGCAGGATTCTCCTGTCTCTTGGCCCTACGAGTAGGAACAGCCTCTGCCTTCTCTGCCATCTGACCCTTACTTAGTCTCTCTCTCTCTCTCTCTCTCTCTCTCTCTCTCTCTCTCTCTCTCTCTCTCTCTGCATCACTGTGGCTTTTCTGAATGGCTTTGAAGTAGGAAGCAGATGCTTTAACTGCTTGTTCAGCTTTTTTAAAGGACACTGGGTCTGATCACACATGTCACTTACTCCTAAGGTTTCAATAAGAGGACACCATCTCTAACGCTGGTAAACTGACTTTTCCATGTGTCAGGTTCTGCCAGCAGTTGCCATACAGTCTGTTGGGCAGGGACCCTACTTCACCACAGTCCACCTCTGTCCGTGTGATGGCATGTGATGGCGATCTCCTGCAGTGGTTAGCTCTCAGGACAGATAGACCCCAGAGGGATCTCATCGCCTTCTGTCTTACTGAGAGACTGTGAGTTTGAAAAGAGGCCTGCATTTCTGCTCTTCCCTACATGTACTGCCGGGGAATACTCTGGTAACAAGAGAGGATCGTAGGATCTAGAAACTTGCAAAAGAAATAAATCTCTCTGAGGGAATAGTGAAAAAAAAAATTGAAAGTAGAAACTTGCGTGAGCCACACGTTCTCATTTCCAGTTTTTAACAATTAGTAGGTTTCTGTTTTTTTTTTTTTTTAATACTTCTCTTTTATAGGAAAAACACACAAAAACCCTATCAAGTTAAAAATTAGACTTAACTAACATCAATAAATTTACTGACCGGTTTACAAAAACAGAACAGGTTTAGAAGTGTTTGAAATACCATTTTTAATTACCTGAGAAACAGATTGGTCTTTTTGTTGTTTGTTTTTATTTTCTCCGAATTGGGTGAGTTTGTTTACAAGGCTTTGGCACAAGCTGGCGAGGTGGATGGTCAATAGGAAGCTGGTACCCAGTCCTCAGAGGGACAGGAGGCAAGGAGGCTGGCTCAGTTCCGAAGCCTCCAGTGCCCCCCCCAGACCACTTCATCTCCACTGACGACATCTGTCCTGAGACCCTTAACTCAGCCTACCATAGGCCAGGAAAGAATTATGAATGTATTCTAAATGGAAACGATAAATAAGGCTATAGAGACAGGCTGAGGCTGGGTGATACATTGAAATCCATAAATATAGCAGGGCTAATTTGAAGTCGCATAATTATTTGTGGGATGACAGACTGTTAAAGGAGATTTGAGAAGGCTGTGTGTCCTGAGGGAACTGGTGACTGGTGGCTGCGGGTCCGCTGGGGCCGCCAAGAACTCAGACCTCTTCTTGCAGATGAGTGGGAAAAGAAATCTTTGGGGAGAGGCAAGGGCCTGGGTGCCTAAGATAATGCAGGGCAACTTTTAGAAGTAAGGGAAAGGTGTTTTTGTTTTGTTCTTTTAAGCTCTTTGAAACTTTCAGAGGTTTACTGAGTAGCTGATCTTTTCCCTAACATAATTATACTTCTTCCCACGTATTGCCTTAATATCTAGGTGCTTCCTTGGAGGGTCCTGTAGAATTATTTGCCTATAGCTCCCTGATAAATGTACTTTATGTCCTTTTTTTTTTTTTTTTTTTTTTTTTTTTTTTTGGTCAGGGAAAAGTCGCACGCACGCACGCATGCCCAGTCGTCAGTTATTCCCCTGGGCAAGGGTGAAGGTGGTTGTTGTGCTTTCTTTGCACATACTACCCAGAGCTGTGCCTTCAAAACAGAGCACAGGCTGAGCAAGAAGTATTATTCTTCCCCCGGGGGAACACCGACAACTTCATCAAAAAACCACTTCTGTCATGACATTAAGTCTATAACCTTGAACCCTGGCTTACTTCAGACACATTCTTCATACCTGCCAACCTGGGCCCCAGTTTGCACAGAGGGTTGTCAACATCCTGTCCCAAAATCAAAAGGGGGATTTCAGTTAATCACCAAGCTGCCGTATTCTACTAAGGGTTCTTGTCAGCGTGTTTAATTGATTGCTGAGCGGTAAATGGTGACTTCTTTGGGCACTGTGTCATCTGTAAAGTTTCAGAGCCTCTGGTAGTCTCTGCAGGAGAGAAGAGGATCTCCATAGGTGGTATCCTGGAAGTCGGACTTCAGGAACGTGGGCCTTAGCCTTGCTGGTGTTTCTCATCTTGGTCTGACAGTTTTTTATACCCAGCACTCTTGCTTCATGAGGGGACCCAAGAGCCTCTTGGGAAAAGGAAATTAATTACCCCAATTTTGTTTTGTTACTCACTGTGTGCATATCGCACCTATAAAACAGGTGTTAAGACACGGTTAAGCCGGCCTGAGCACTGGCCAACTTTATCTATAGCTTGGGTGACCAGAGCATTCATGTCCAGCCTTCTATCATCCTATCCAGTGGGAATTCTTCCAGATCTAACCAACTGTCTTCTTTAAAAGGTGTCGAGTCATCCATCACCTCTCTAGGAACCAACCGGTCTGTTGCCTTATGCTTCCAGCCTGCCCAGTCAGCTAAATGCAAGCATTTCCCTGGGGGAGGTCATCCAGGGAGCACGTCTCTCACCCCTGGAGGGCGGGGTCAGACAAGGGCTGGACTCTTACCTGTGGAGGGGGAATGTGTTTCTCTCTGAATGTGTGGCAGCCTGCTCTCTCTCGCTGGAAGCCGCTCACCCCTGCTGGCTAACCGTCTCCTCACAGCCTGCCACACTCGAAGCTAGCTTTCTAACAGCTCTTTATCCTTGGCTCCCACTCAGTAAGGTGAAGGCCTTTTCTGTGCTCCTCTCTGCCACCCAAGCCCAGCATGCTGTCACCTGATCTCGTGAGAGCTGACCGGTAAGCCCCGCATTGAGCCGGGTCATTGGTGGACAAAGTCAAAGACTCTAACTCAGCAACTCACAATGCATGGAATTTTCACTTCCCTAACTTCTATTGTAGTGTAACATTTTCTGTGATTGTTCTCTTTAAGAGAACAGTGTAGTATCTTGAAACAATTGCAACCCCGGTGTGTCACTGTTTCTGTTTAACAAGTTTCATTCTTTCCTAATCATTGTATCCAGTTATGCACTAGTGTCAATAAAATTGACATTTGTGAAGCGATTTCTGGCCTTTTTCTCCTGGATTTATGGGATCTGGTGGTGTGTGGGGTGACGGGTCTCTGTGTGACACCAGGACTTCATTTCACTGAGATTTATTCCAATGTGAGGATGTCTTTTTTTTTTTCAAAATTCATCCTGGGAGCCCTCATCTTCTCCAAACTTACTTTCCAAGGATCGCTACTGGCCAACTGTTGGTAGGCATGACAGATACTTTCTGTTGTTTCCTGGGTGTAATGGCTCTTCACCCCTGTGTGGGTGATGCCACTCACAGGGTGTCCTGGAAGCAGGGGGCATGCAGTGATTGCCTCAGGAGTTGTGGCTGATGGGACCAAAATCGCCATTGGCCTGCATTAGCTCCAGTCTAGGCCGCTATATCTTAAAATACGTATGAACAACTAAAGAGGGAGAAAGTAGGCGTCAGAGCATGAGGACATGTCCGGAAACCCGTGTCACCCGTCCTGTGGAGATCCTCTGACAAGCAGTAGGTAACAAGGAGCAATGGACCAGAACAGAAAGTTGGGAGGCACTGCCTTCACTTTTTGGAGTTTTTTTTTTTTTTTTTTGTCATCAGAACTGCTCGCCTGATGCTCAGTCTGCACTACAAGTATCTTAGGTCTAAGCACACAATGTACACCTCATGTAGCCTCCAAGGGTTGAGACACAGATAGTTGCAAAATGCTACCAGCAGAGTGCCTGTGTATAACATCTCCTGCGGCTGACTATAGGAGGTAACCTACCTTTTCCTGTTGTTTAACCTAACCTCCTTTCTAGAGGACTAACTTACGACCTGTCACTTCTGATTCACAAAGGGGAACTGTGCTAATGTGATCTCCAGCTTGCGTCTTTAAGTGACCACCGTTGTGTGTAATGCTAGTGTTTGTGTTCCAAACAGTAGCAGACATGGAGTTGGCGTCACCAGGTACACTGAGCTTGTTTCTGTTCTCTGTAGAGTGCGGGATTAGCTGCTTGACCTCTGTTAGCTGTGACCCATTGTCACAAGATGTGGCCCTGTCCTGAGTACACCAGCTGTTTAGATGCCTGTTAGTTTAGTTCTAACCACTCCTCTCTGTCTCATCGTGACGTAGATACCATGACTTCCTGGAGTAGTTCTTAGACGCAGAGGCGGTAGTTATGAGATAAAAGTAGGATTGTGCTATGCTGTTATGCTCCCTTAACTGTGATCCGTGCAGAGGTCTCTGTCTTACCTTTAATTACGTAACTGGGGCTGCATTGGGTGAGGTAGACTCTTGATACCCCTCCTCTCAAGGCAGCCACAGTGTAGAGGGTGGGAAACTTAGAAAGCAATGCATTATGTTTGCCGTGTAGTAGCCATGTCCTAAAGATTTACACATGTGATGGTTGGGAAGAGCCCTCCGATCCCAGAAGGAATTACTTTTTTTTTTTTTTCTTTTAAAACTTCTCATCCCCAAACAGGCTCCCTGACTGGTAGCCCTCACCTTTCAGAACTGTCCATCAACTCGCAGGGTGGAGTTGCCCCAGCCAACGTGACCTTGTCTCCCAACCTGAGTCCCGACAACAAGCAGGCCTCCCCCTTGGTCAGCCCGCTCCTGAATGACCAAGCCTGCCCGAGGACTGACGATGAAGAGGAGGGCCGGCGAAAGGTGCAGATCCTCGGGGAAGGGGAGTGTGGTAAAATAAGCACAGCATAAAACATGCCAGCTTTAAATGTGCAGCTGCCAGGGGATGATCAGGACTCGGGTTCCGTTGCCTTTTCACGGTCCCCAACGAAACCTCTGTCCTGTGGACTACTAACTCCCCATTCCTTGACAACCCACCCAGCCTGCTTACGGTGTTTTTGACTGGCTTCGTCCGCCTGGTGCCATGCCCTCGGGGTCCATTCCTGTTACCCGTGTTGTGGCAAAGGTCAGGACGCCTCCTCCCGCGTGCTGTATCCACCGTATAGATGGGCTGCGTGTTGTTCATTCACTCGTCACACCTGTCAGTCCTACAGCCTCCTCTCTTGTTGTTTTGAACAACACTACCGTGAACGTGAATGTCCACAAACCTGCTGAGGTTCCGTTTTACTTACTGCATAAGGAAAAAGCAAGACACTAATGGCGGCCCACTTTGGGTTTCGAATGCCAGTCTGGCTCCCACACTCCAGGGCTGGGACACGCTGCTGTCACCGTCTCCTTGGGATCCAGCCACTGATGGTAAACACCATCCTGTAAGATCTCAAGAAACCAGCTCTGCCAGCCCATGGCACAGGCCTCAAGATGCTGGTTTCTTGTGGCTGAGTTTCCCTGAAGGTTGTGTAACTATTGCCTAATTAGAATGCTCTGGCTGATGGTGATATTTCTATATCAGAAGTCAGTCTTGTAGCCTGTTTCTTCTAATGCTTGCATGTACATGCGGCGCGCGCGCACACACACACACACACACACACACACCATGGAAATAAGCTTATTTTAGATTTGATGCTAGCTAACAAAGGCCTTACCCATTAGTTACCTACTTGTGAATCACACTGTCTTTTGATCAGGACATTCTTAGGGACTTCCAGACAGACTTGACTGCTGCTGTCTTGTTCTTTCCTGGATTTTACAGAGATTCCCAACTGACAAGGCCTACTTCATCGCCAAGGAGGTTTCCACCACGGAGCGAACATACCTGAAGGATCTTGAGGTCATTACTTCGGTACGTGCAGCTTATCCTCTGATTCAGTTAAACTGGGGTTGCTTAAACGTTAGGCTCCCTGGCCAACTGCAAGGATTATAGATCCTGATCGTAGGTTATGGCATTAGTGTCAGTTGTATGTGTAATCTGGAACATTCCTGAGGGAATTCCAAAGGGAAGACATTTCCTGAAGCGGAGAAAGTGTGAAGTAAGCAGTCTACTGTCTGTGGACACTGACCCAGAACATGCTGCGTTTTGCTCATCATCGGATGTAACTGGTTGTGTTTGCTTGAGGTAACTCGTGGCTGTCTCTGTAGTGAGTGCCTTTGACTGCTGTGGTCTGGCCCTATTCAGTCAGAGCAAAGCTGAGGGCTTCTGGGGTTTGGGGATTTCTGTGATTTTGAGAAAGAATATAGGCAGGAAAGAGGGATACCCACGCTGTTGGGATGAGGTTTGTGACCCAGTTCTCACTCATATCAATGACCTACGATCCCAAACTCAGGATTCCTAGTAAACTGGCCTGGGTGAAATCCGCCCCGGCTTGAACACGCCGTGGTAGGCATTTGAGAGGCAGGGGAGGGGAAGGCCTCCGCCTGTAACAGGCCTGAGATGCTCAGATGCCCTGGAGAGGTGCATGGCCTCCTGCTCCCCACCGTCCATCCATCTTCACACGTCTGAGTTGTGCCCTCTTCCTTCCCAGTGGTTTCAGAGCACGGTCAGCAAAGACGACTCCATGCCCGAAGCCTTGAAAAGTCTCATCTTCCCAAATTTTGAACCTTTGCACAAGTTTCATACCAATTTTCTCAAGGAAATCGAGCAACGACTTGCCCTGTGGTGAGTACGGTCCCGCCTGCTTCCATGTTTTATTTCACTTTGTCCTATGTACAAGGCAGAGATGAAAAGCAAACCGGCCTGAGGCAAGCCGTGCTTAAGATATTTTCCAATGGGATAACAAAGCAACAAAAAAGATTGCAATGAAATGCCACGTGTTTGGGTTTAATCTATGCCTTTGATTGAGAACTCTCCAAAATGCACTTTCTTATTCTATTGAAGTAAAAGTGCTCGCTTTTAGGAGACAGACTGTAGGATGGTAGAGGGACATGAAGAATTTTTGAGGTGACATTTAACCGTTGCTTTATAGTTATTGTGAAATGACATATATGTTGTTTGTGTACATACACATACAAAACGCTATACTGCATTTAACTGTTTAAAGAGTACTTTGAAAATACAAAGGCTATGCAACACACACACACATATGGAAGGTTTACCTCATAAGGATATAAGTATTTTTGTTTAGTTATTATTGTATATATGTGTGTTACCTGTGGGTAAGCATGCCACAATGTGCATGGGGAGTTGTATATGTGCATGTTGTCTGTGGATAGACGTGTGTGTTGTCTGTGGATAGACGTGTGTGTTGTCTGTGGATAGACGTGTGTGTTGTCTGTGGATAGACGTGTGTGTTGTCTGTGGATAGACGTGTGTGTGTTGTCTGTGGATAGACGTGTGTGTGTTGTCTGTGGATAGACGTGTGTGTGTTGTCTGTGGATAAACGTGTGTGTGTGTTGTCTGTGGATAGACGTGTGTGTGTTGTCTGTGGATAGACATTGCCACAGTGTTCATGGGGAGTCGGAGCAGTTGCTTCTCTTTTTCTTTACCTGTGTGTGTGGGTTCTAGAGTTGAAACTCGGGCACCAGACACGGGAAAAGCACCTTTATCCACTGAGCCAACTTAACAGTACAGGATATATATTTTTTTAGGTATTTGTGTGTGTGCTCAGGCACGTGCCTGTATAAGTGTGTGTGCATGTCTGTGTGCAGGGCACTCGCCTGTGAGTAGGTGGGGACCACTGGCAGCTGCAGGCCAGTGAGACACACCCTGGCGTCTCATGGGCGCTGGGATCTGCACTCCAGTCCGCATAGCTGAACAGCAAGTACTCTTAACTGCTGACCCATCTCTCCAGCCCCATAAGGATATGTTTTAATATTATGACATGAGCAAAGGCATCCATCATAGAACTAAAACACTAGGGTGACCTGTGTGTGTGTGTGTGTGTGCACACCTGCATCTGTACCTCTAACTGGAATTTTTTTGTATGCGGTAGAATGTAAAACCTGACACAGCTTTACCTAAACTAGAGCCTTCTGTAGGAAAATTTTATGGGACTTATTAAGGATGTCACGTGCAGGCTCACACATGAGGGGGTTGATTGTCTGCCAAACAAGCATTTGAAAACGCAGGAGAACCAGCAAAGGACGGCTCCTTCCACAGCTGTTGTGGTCTCGGCCCTCCTGGTTTCCGACCGGAAGTGGTGAGGAGGGGGGCATTTAGAGACCCCCCCCAAGGGTCCTGAAGGAGCCTGCCCTGAGACTCTTACCTCTCGGGGTCCTTGACTGAGGCCTTCGAATATCACATCAGTAGAAAAGCAGAGCCCCACGCCCGCTTCGTGAGGCCAGTGTGCGGGGCCAGCCTGAGTTCTCTGACCTAAGTGGCGCCTGTCTTTGTAGGATGGTATAAAGTGCCCTTGCCTTGAGAGGGAGGTGTCAGGCTTTACCTCATAAGGATATAAGTATTTTTGTTTAGTTATTATTGTATATATGTGTGTTACCTGTGGGTAAGCATGCCACAATGTGCATGGGGAATTGTATATGTGCGTGTTGTCTATGGATAGACATGTGTGTTGTCTGTGGGGGAGGGCAGATTGCAGTCAGAATGAACATGTAAGAGAACCAAGTTGGCCTTGCTGAGGATGAGGTAAATAGACTCCACTTCAGCAGCAGCTGAGTGTGGAAAAATCAAAACGAGACACTCCCGAGCTTCACCTGGCACGTTTGTGTTTCTCACTCTACGAAGGCAGACAGGTAGGCATCCGGGAAGGGTGGTGGCTCAGGCCTGTCATCCCAGCACTCATCAGGCAGAGGCAGGAGGATTGCTGACAGCCTGAAGCCAAAGTATTCCACCCGAGGCTCGCAAGTGAAATGAAGTAGTGAGGTTGTTTCCCATTGAGAAGGAAACGACCTCGAGAATACGGGGCCAAACACGGGGCATACATTTCTAGTACCTGCGGGCCAGCCCTGGTGAGTGTGTGCTCTGTGCCAGAGAGCAGAGTTGACTCAGGGCAGTGAGGTTCCTAGAAAGCCCTGCAGAACTCCTTGGTGGCTCACGCTGGCACTTTCCAGCAGAGGGCGCCTGTCCAGTTTCCCGAAAGTAGTTGTCCATGGTGCAAACTCCATCACTGACCCTACTTCAAGACCACGGGGGGGGGGGGGGGGGGTGAAAAAACGAAGATTGCTGGGCTCCCATCAGCCCTGATTTGTGTGAACTCTGGGGGTGAGATCTGTCTTTGTCAAGTACTTCTTGGAGTCACTGTGATGAATATATTTGGGAAACAGTTGACACCCGTACCCAGTACCTCTGGCAGATACGAATCTGGGATTCTTTGTATTTCAGAGAGGATTGAATTATATTTCTTTATTCAGTCTACAAGCGTGACAAAATGCATGACTGACTGAATGACTGAATGCTATGGATTTGTTCATTAAAGTATTGGAAAGGCTCCATGGAGCTCTGGCGGGCGGGGCCTGTGGGAGGTTAAGTCATTGGGTACAGGAAGATTGGGAAGGGGTTGTCCCCAGAAGCTTCCCGGCTCGAGGCGTTAGAACAGACATTCACACCATTGTTACCACCTTCCTACCCAAGGCATGAGGCTACTTGGACTGTTCCGTAAACCTTTTCTTTGCCTCGGGTATTCTGTGGTAGGAGCTGGAAGCTGACTGATGTAATCCCTGACTAGGGTGCGTATCGGGCTCTGCTCACTCATGGCACTGAGCCAACGGGGGATACGATGTCCTAGGGAGGCAAGGAGGTTTGCTGCCAGCTTGGCTTTCGGAGGGCATGTAAGACGATAATGCGTGCATGAAGCAGTCACCGTAGGTTGAATACCGTCAAGGGAAAGAATGGGTCGAAGGAAGAAACGTGCACGGTTATTGACAGGGAGCAGAAGGGAGAGAGGTGTTTAGGCAGAGGTTTATACTGGGAGACACAGGGTGGCTCATGTCAGTTCACATAGTTAAACAAATCTGGGGACCAGGGAAACGACTCTGTTGTAAAAACTTTGCTAGCACATGAGAAGAGGCCCTGAGTTCAATCCCTGGCGTTGCAGAAGCTCTTAGGCATCCGGTTGTCCGTGGTGGAGCTGTCCCTGCCCACCTGTGAACTGTGACTCTCATACGACTTTCATACGTGGGGAGATCTAGTGTTTGTAATGGGCCCCATGTACCGAGCCCCACACAGGAAGAGGAAGGCTGGCATTTTACATGTTGTTCTGTGTATATATGTGTGACATGTGTGTGTGTTGCTGCCATGTGTATGCATGAACGTCAAAGGACAAGGCTTGAGAGTTGGTTCTTGCCCTCCATCTGTTGCGACACTGTCTCTCTCTGTTTCTGTTGTATTGCACACTCGATACTAACTGTCCCACACACTTCTGCCTCCACCATCTACCCATGTAAGGAGCCTACATCTGGCAGTTTTTTTAACATGGGTCCCAGGGATTGAACTTGGGTCTTTCAGGCTTGGCAGCTACCGACCTCACCCACTGAGCCATCTCCTGGACCCAAACGAAACCTTCTAAAAAGTTAGCTGAATTTGGGATACTTTTAGATTTGCTGCATGACAGATTCCCCACACAAACCTCACTCTTCCCATTGCTGGAGATTATTTCCGGCCTGGCCCCACCGCCGATTAGCCCCAAATAAACACAGAGACTTATAATAAGTCCTAAACTGTTGGCCAGTGGCTAGGGCTTCTTACTGTCTAGCTCTGTCTTAAATATTAACACATTTCTATTAATCTATGTATTACCATGAGGCTGTTACCCCTTCGGCAGCATGGCGTCTCTTCTCGGGGCTTTCTCTCTTCTTCCTCTCCCCAGAATCCTCCTTGCCTGGCTCCTGGCCAATCAGTGTTTTATTCATCAACCAATAAGAGAAACATACACAGAAGGACATCTCCATCGCTTTCCCCTGAGCATTTGTTACGTTCCCGTGGGTCAAATGAACAAAGCAATGCTAGCCTGTTGCCGGTGTGGAACTCTAGATTTTATTCCTTGCTATTTTCTAGGTTTGGGATTTGTGGTTTGGTTTTGGCTTCTCCTGGAACTCGCTGCGTACATCAGGCCATCCGGCCTGGAACTCACAGAGATCCCCCTGCCTCTTCCTCCAGAGCTCTGGGATTAAAGCACATGCCGTCACATCCCGGGCTGTTCAAAGAAAGGAATCTAGAGTTTTCCCTGCATCAGAGTCCCTCAGGGTTGGTGCGTGTGTGGTGGCCCACCACCCTAGATTGGTGCATTCGTGGTAACCATGATGTTCCCCTTGGCAGGCCTCCGGGAGAATGCAGGCCTTAGTGTGCTTTGCCAATGGTGGGAAAATTCAGGGCGGATCTCATCAGGAAATGTTCTGGAATGTTTAGGCCACCCCCAGTTTGACAACACCCTGTCCCTCTCCAAAAGTCACTCTGCCATGCAAACACACCTGAGCAGAAGGGGCAGGCCCAAGGCCAAAGCCAACTCACACCTTCCTCCAAAGTGGCAACGAGTTTGTCGAGTTGTGAAAAGTAGCTGAAATGTGTTTTTCTTTTTGAAAGTAGGGGGTTGTTTGCTCAGCTGTTTAAACACACTCAGAGAAAGCCACTTAGATTCAGCCTGGCGATGGGTGGACATTCCATGCCACTTTGAAATCTCATGTTTCAGTGTGGGCAGGGTGTAGAGCTTGGGTCCTGTCGTGTGGGCAGGGTGCAGAGCACTGTCCCTTTCTCTGCTCCTGACTGTG